TGCTTTCGTCAAACACCCCCCCTTCGAATCACACTGAAGGGTGCACAAACCCTAGCACACTACAATTGGAAATTCCACCATACGGTCTGAAATAGATTTCTCATTTGATTCACACCAAGAAAAAATGCATAAAACCTCTTACCTGATCACCTGGTAATCAGACCACACAAGACACCCACTGCACCACACGAATCAACCCTCTTCTCTTCATCAATTAGGGGAGGGCGATCACTCCTTTTCAGCCCTTTCTCTTATCTCTAGCTGATGGCAAAGAAAACAAGAGAAAACCCTAGGCTGGGTGTGCAGATAACAGAATTCTGGGCAGATCCGATTTGCTCAGTTTGGCTCTGATACCATGTTAGTGTTCAGTCTGCTTGTTAGACTGATAACAGTCAAGGAAGAGAGAGAGGAGAGAGGAGAGAAAGAGAGAAAGGAGAAGAGCAGAAGAGAAACAAGGAGAAAAGATTCTGGTTCAAATGAGAGAAAAAGCACACTCTCCCATTCGGCCAGATGTATTTTATATTACTAAAATAATATGGAAAAGTCACATATTCCCCTACTTAAGTTAGGGACATTAAATCTAACATAAACTTACACATCAGCACCTAAACACAAGCACAAAGACAGAAATACCCCTACATACTCAACACTAACACCAACTATTTTTGCTTCCATTTGTGGAATTCTTGGGAAGAGAACTAGCAATTGAGACATATTGATCAAGGTTCTAGGGTCCTACATGACTCCTCCAGACTCTGTTTTCAACGACCGTGATGAGGCGCTGCTCAGCGTGCTGTCGGAAATTCAGCTAAACTTGACAATCATTGAGTCAAGTTGTTGGGAAATTGTGCCAGGGTTGAATCTAGAAGCTGGGCAAGTCAATAAGAAACTGCTCGGCCAGAAGATACGATATGTCTACCTAGCAATAGCCAAAATGCTCAGATTTTGCCAAGGTTGATTTGGAGACTGGACATGTAAGGAAGTTCATGTATGGTGACTAGAGGTTCGGCGAAGAGTCATGCTTCATACCCAGAAGGAGAAGCCATTTTGCTGGTAATGAAGACGATGGGTATGTTACGAATTTCGTTCGGGACGAGAAGTCTGAAACCTTGGAGCTGGTGGTAGTGAATATTTCCAACATGAAACAGGAAGCCTTTGTCATAATTCCTTCAAGGGTGTTGTATGGTCTCCATGTTACTTTCGTTAGTTCAGAAGATCTAAAGACTAAAGCTTTTGGTTTCAAATGACAAATTGCCATTTATCTTCTTTTTTCCTTTGCCACTTAGTTATTTCTCTATCCTCAAGATATAGTAGAAATGACGAAATACAACTTAAAACTCATAATGTGTACAATAATTGAAAAAGGTTCCTTGGTTTGGTTAAAAAAAAAAAATGATTCTAGGTTTCACTTGAACTCTTACATGGACCAAAATGACGCTGATAACATTTAAAACAATTGGTCTTTTGTTTCTTTACAAACAATTTCTAATCCAATTAATTCCGCCTTGTCTGCTGGTTTGGAATTTCTACATGGTCTATGGGAAGTAATGCTTATATAAGCTTAATTGCGGCCAACAACAAGTTCCGATTTTCGAATGCCGCTTGGTCTATTGGACAATGGTGAACTGTGTTGATAACACAAGTGCCAAGAACCTATACATCTTCTCTGTGAAGGGGATCAAGGGTTGCCTCAACTGATTGCCATCGGCTTGCATTGGGCATGATTTCTCTCTTTGCAAAATGAATTTATGATTTTTGTCCTCAGTCTCAAGGCAAAAGACAAATGAACAATGTCTTCTTTAGAAGGGTAGTTTTGACATTTTCAAAAGTAACTGATGGACCACTAACGACAAGGGCCTATTAGACACATTTTGAAAATTTGGGTACTGCAAAGACACATTTTGAAGTTCGGGGACTGACTTGAGACAACCCCTAAAGTTTAGAGTAGTGATAAGGAATTTTCCCTTTAAATATTTTCCAAATCGGGCTAGTGAACTTAATGTTGGGGAATTGGTTTCGGGAGGAGGAGCCGACCATTTTTTTTAATTCTAAAAAATAAAAATTAATTTAATTGCACTTACTTGGATGGCCGGATTATTGGTTCAGAATCTCAACTTGATTTCAATGGTCGAAGCCTCAAAGCCTCCTCCTAAATTGCCAAGTGTATGACAGTATGAGACTGTATGAGATGAGAGACTAAGAGAGTATGAGAATTGAGAAGTGAATTGCTGAATTGGTGTGATGAGAAGAGACTAAGGATAGGGCTATTTATAGGAATTGAAAATAATTCAATTACCCAAAATACCTTAAAAACTAGCCATTTTTTAGTTGTTGGAAGGGTATTTTGGTCATTATAAAGTCATTTATCACTTTATCCAAATGGCCCCAAAATCCCAAACTAGCTGTTATATAGGATATAGCTATTGGAGGGGCATTATTGTCTTTTTCTCCCCCTGAAGCCAAAATACATAAATACCCCCTCCCCTATATAGCTGTTTATATGCTTGTAGCTTTTGATTAAGGGGGTATTTCTGTAAAACCCCCCTAAAAAGCTGAAACTAGCTGTTTGGGCTTCTCGGATGGGCTGCACTCGGCCCATTGCAGGCCTGTGGCCCACACAATCGTGCCGTGCCTAACACGACCCATGTGCTGTCATGTTGGACTGTAGGCAGCATGACCCGATTTACACCTCTAGGGTTGGGTTTGGGCTGGGACCAGTTAGAATCAGAACCAACCCGACTTGAAATATTGAGGACCTGGAACCGAATCAGACCCGATAGGGTCTGTAATTTTTAGACCTAGAACCGAACCGATCAGTTCTCGGCACAATCGGGTCTGATCCTATGAACCCGATTATAATACATAAATAAATAAATAAATAAATAAATATATAGGTTTAGTATATATTAAATATTATACTATATATTATATGTATATTATATATATAATTTATTTAATATATTATATATATTACATGTATATAGCTCGGGTCAGGTCTGAATCGGTTTGGAACTAGGTAGAACCGGTTCCGAACCGATAATAATTGGGACACTATATCTGGACTCGGAACCGACCCATTGGTTCCTGTTCCTGGAACAAGAATCGGCCCAACTGGTTCGGGTCCATTGGGTCGGACCCGGCCCATTGACAGCCCCATCTCTACTTGGTCCCAATAGGCATAAGAAATTCCCAAGAGATTACGACGATATTGGAAGATGTGCAAAAGCACAAGAAGTTTGAACATCAACATGCTATTATTGAAGGATATTTCAAATTGGTGAATAAAAAAAATAAGTGGCTAACAAGAGGCATTGAGGTAGGATTCAATGGGTGCAAAGGGTAGCAAACAATTTTGTGTAAGCAATGGGTGGGAAGGGATCAAATGTATTGGGAAAAGTTGTAAGCTTTTTTTTTAAGATAAAAGTATTGTAAAATATAAAACATGTTTCTTTGTTAATAAAGTTTGGCTGTTACTGATAACAAAAAAACATACAGGACACTCATTCCCTAATAAACAGCTATCTGAGAGGAGAAATGGCTAAATGTTTGTGATATTATGACACAATTTTCATGCTAGGTCTTTTTTTTTCTCTTCACAATAGAAGGATATTAATGACTTTCTGTAGGAACTATTTCCCTCTCTGTAGTGGTAATTTAGCATATGGGTAATGGTCCTACATTGGGAAATTGGTCATTGGTAGAGCTACTACTTACCCTCCAAAGACACCAGCTGAACTTAGATTCTAATGACAGTAGAGTTTGGAAACAGGATAAATCCAGCTGCTGCTCTGTCAAATCCTTTGCAAGAAAACGTGCTAATTCTACTTCTGTGATTATCCCTCACAAAGTCATTCGGTATCTTCTTGTTCCCTCCAAGATAGGCTTTTTTACTTGAACTGCTTCTCTTAGCAAATGCCTTACTAGAGACAAGCCCATTATCGGAGGCTCGGATGTTCCCTCCACTTCTTTATCTTTCACAACACCAATCCAGATACATCAGACCATCTTTTTATTCACTGTCCCATTAGATGCAAAGTTTGGACACTCCTGAACTGCCTAAACATCTTCTGTCTTTCCCAACTCTACCACAGAAACCCTAGCCAACTAGCATATTGACAGTCTAAATAAGAGAGGGAAAATATTTAGTGTCTGATCCCTGCAGTGAATTTCTGGACTTATTGAATGGAAAGGGATGACATTATTTTTGAAAACAAGTACAACAAACAAGATGTAATTGGGGGAAAGCAGTTGCAAAGATATTATTCTTGGGCTTCAGATCACTTAGACCCTCTACTTCTCAAGACCTACATAAAACTAATTTAGTCCTTTATTTCAAGGATTAAATTATTGATGTGATATTGCCTGTGTTAGGCATATCGTATCTGTATCCAAGGTCATGGAGGCTCATGGATACACCAAAATATTAGGGGTTTGGGGTTTTTGAAAAGTAAGAATCTCGGTCTATCAACATGCACCGATACCCAAATTTTGGCATTGGCGCTTATTGATACTTTGATCCTTGCTTTATTTGATGTTGAACAATTGCTGTCAATTGCTTTTTTCCAAGTCTGTGATGATTGTTGGTGGCTGAATTCCAAAAACTTGGAAGGGATAGAGAATAACATAGAATAGGAAACATTCCTAAGTGTCAAGGTTCTTACAAATTCTTGCTCTTTGGGAATCATTCACCAACGTCAAGCAGAAAATAACCTCCAAATTCAATAGTCATATGCATAGATAAGCCAAACTTATGGGCTGAAGATATAAAAAGAAACCAAAATACCTCTACTGTCTAAAAATATAACAGTATTCAGAAAAGTCCAATTTGGATTCTTGAGCTCCTGCATCAAGAAGAGTTGGTTAAAAAACGGAAGGAGAGGAAGAAAAACAGAAGGAACTGCCCATGTTCCTTTCTTTTTTGAGGAGTTTATTATTTTGATTTTATGTGTTTCTCTTTACAAAACTTGTCTTTTTAATAATTCTTGCTTTCCTAACTACAGGTAGCAAACAATTGCTTTGTTCCAGCTTTAATAGGCCATGCCATTGATGATGATTTTATTCCGCCCCACCACTCTGATCGTATATATGATGCTTATGTGGTAAGTATTTTAGATATTGTTTTCTTTTGGGAAATTTTCTTTTCAGCTTATTATCCATGCAAGTATCATTTCCTTTGTTGCTTATTAATTTTTTTCACTTCTAAAATGATTCTATTCCTTTATATTTCTTTCCAAAAGCTGAACATAGAGTGAGGGGTATAATTCCTTTAGGGGTCTGCTGTCACATAACCTGTCAAGACAAAACCTGACTTGGCCCCCCTTTCCTACCTTATATTTTATTCCTTTCCTGAAACAGTAAAAGGATTTTTCTATTCCCTTCCATAACAAGAAGCTATAAGAAATCCTCACTTCATTGTATCCCAGCCCAGATTTGTCTTCAATTATCTGCCTCTAGAGATGATCATTTCTAGCCTGACTTGGCCCACACTATGTATATTATGTGTGTGCTTGTGTAATTTTATAATATGGCATATATAATTCAAAATATTATATGTATTTAATATATTTAAAGTTGTAAGCCCAGCCCAGCTCATGATCACCCCAACCTGCCTCCATAAGTTGTTTGTCTCAACAGTCAATAATGAAATGCCAATGCGAGTGCCACTTTCAGAGTAGTGCCAAGTTAAAATGCTTCATATTTCTGATTCCCAGGACGCCCTGCTCTTTTTAAAAGTATACCTTTCTTCATTCAACTAAATGGCATTTCCTTTCCTCTTTCCAACCTTTCCACACACACAAAAATAAAATAAAATAAAGAAAGAAAGAAAGAAACCTCTAAATCTTTTTCCTATCAGCCCTTTTAACCTGTTTACATTGTCAAATGATGTATTCCTGTCTGCTATGTCCACCACAATTTGGTCAAAGTATTTGGTCTCCATACAATTCTTTGTTTCTACTTAATCCCTCATGGAGTACTGCTAAAGGCATCCAATAGTTTGAGGAAAGCAGTAAATGACCAGAGAAATATAACCCCAAGAATCAGCTGGACTTACAACTTACAAAATAATGATATGCCATCTTGGCATCCCTCAAGCATAAAATGCCAATAGTCATAGTCGTTCTCTGCTTCCTAGTTTATCCGGCATGAGACTATGTTTGTTTGCACTACAATTTCATTGGCACTATTACAAATACATGGGAGTGAATGAGAAAATTGTAGATTTTGGTTCATTTTTTCTTTGGGTTTTATTTTATTTTGTTTCAGGTTTTATTTTACATTTTCTGCAGTACAAATAAACAAAGAAAGTAAAACCTATTATCAAATTTATTTGCAGTCCCATGCTTGAGTGGAAACGTTGGTGGTTTCTTTCTAAATATTTCATAGATATTCTTTTGTGATATGCTTGACTTTTGACTTTTTAATCAACAGGGAGACAAAAATATCATCAAATTTGAGGGAGATCACAACTCTCCACGCCCTCAATTCTACTTTGATTCTATAACCATCTTCTTCCATAATGTTTTGCAACCTCCAAAGGAAGCTGAGGGAAATGACTTGACTTTTCATGATTACTATGATGAGGTAAACTGAATCTGAATGCATGTGGTTGAATGTTATTTTATTTTATTTAATTGAAACTACTAGATGCTGGGTTTCAATCACAATCAAAATGGATGATTCAATCTACAGGATATTTGGCATAAAGTTCATGGAGTAGGATATACAAACTACAGTCACGGTTATACAGAAGCATCTAAAGGCATGACTGAGAAACCATATGTATCTTTTCTTTTAAGTTCTTGTTTTTGCCCAGCACTCTTTATAGAAGCTTTTCTATTCTCTTATTTGTTCATTATTGGTTGTGGAACTAGAGTCAAGCACCACAGAAGATGCCATTAGACAACTTCGTTCCAGAAGGCCTATGAGTAGGATTGAGGTTGGTAAAAATTTTCTTATGACTTATGACTTCTGATTTTAGAAGTTACATACATGACTAAAATTAATCCTCAATGAGCATGAGATAGTTCTAATGCCTAAAATGAATTTCTAGATCCATGGACTTAACAACATTGAGTTGGTAAAAGGACAAAGTTGATCTTATTACTTATTTTTAATGGTTGTTTCTCAGAAAATGCAACTTCATGATGCAAAATTGATTATTTTTATACTAAAAAGCAAATTTCGATTAAAATAAAAAAATTCAGAGCACTGGTGAAGAAATTTCACCCCATGGTGCAGCCAGAAACACACGTCAAAACAACTGCAAAACGTAAATGCAAAATTACTCCCATTTATTAACCCTACAGTTAACCAGAGCCTATCCCCAAATCCCTCTCTATTAATCCCATTGAATTCTGAATGAGCAAACATCCAATCTCTGTGTTAAGAGGTAACAATAACTTTCTTCTTGACATGTATTTGTCCTAAAAAATACACCTATTTCTCTTCTTCCATTTACTCCAACAGACTGAAATAAACTATCAAAGATGCTAGGTTGATTTAATTGCCCTTTTGGCTTTGCTTAGATTGATTTAATCACCTATCACCCTCTTCAATTTCCTTGATGCATTATATGAAATGCTATTTTTGTAAGCATGGGTTTTACAATTTTAATTGGCTGAAATCTACTGGTTGTGAAAAGCTTACAAATGTACATTTATATACCTTATGAACAAAGTAGAAACTTATTGATATGTTAGATTTTCTTTTTGATAGGCTATTGCTAAATTATATGTCATAATTTTTTTCCTGTAAGGAGATAATGATTTTGTTATTATATCATTTATGGCTAGAGCTTGGAAGTTGGTTAGGTCATAGCTGAATTTAGTTGGCAGTTGTACAAACCAAACCAAACAAAACCAAAATCAGTATCACTGTCTATGGATTAGCCAACCTGGGTTGGGATAAATTCTTGTACTCTGAAAATAAGTTTATGTTGTGCTTGAGGATGCATAATCCAAAGTAGATTCAGACCTTATCCAGGTTTAGAATAACCAGCCTGAAGCAGTGCAAGCATGAAACCTTGAACAGACAGGTCACATCATAGTAATCAAAAGCTGTCTCGACAGTGAAACCTAATGTGTTTGTGCCTGGTCAAGTCGTTAGAATATCTGGGTCAAAAGAATTTAATAGAATGATGTCATAGATGTAGGGCTGTTCATCAAACCAATGAAATCAACTAAACCAACCAACCCAACCCAACTTGACCCAAGTTGGTCAATTTTCTAGTATTTTCGGTTTGCTTTGGTTCAGCCATTATGCTAACCTGAGAGGTCGGGTCGGTTTTGGTTCGGTCATGTGTAAACCGACCCAACCCAGCCATAGATATGCTAATATTTTATATTTTAAAGTTATTTTTTTAATATGGGAAAACAGGAAAATTCCAATATTGCCTAGTTTAAAAAATTTTATATTGTAAATTTAAATCTTTTGAACCGATCAACCCAAGTTGGCCGTTTTTCAATAATGGTGTCAGTTTCAGGTGACCAACTCCCCAACCTGACCAGGTTGGTTCGGTAGGCCAACCGAACTGAAATGACCTGTGAACACCCCTACATAAATATAATTCTAGCACATTTAATCATGAAGAACAGAGTTTTTAATGGTTGCAACTCACATTTGTCTTGCAAGAAGTTGAGTTGTCCTCAACTTGGTTGTCTCTTCTAGATTACATCCATTTGACTGGGTCAGCCAATTTGGTTTAGTTCTCCAACAGGACTGATACCCTTCATAGCCTGATATGTCACGTAAGTATTTCTATAGGTTTGGTGGTCAACTGGCTGGGCATCTTTAAGATTTCTACCCATGTTTAACTGCCCAAGTTTGATGCAGTTGGTGTGTGCATCTATAAATTATAGTTATTTGTAAATTGCAAAAATAATAACAATAATGATGATGATGAATAAGTGGACTAGGTTAGATTTACAATACCTTGAGCAGTGAAAAGTATAATATTTCATTTTGATGTCTGACATCTTTGAACTAACTTATGTTCTCCTTGAAATTGCTCAGGTCCCTTCTGGCATTCCCTCTAAAGAGAACCAATCTAAATTGGAGGTACGTTGCTGCTTTTCTTTGTTATTGGTAACAGTGAGAAACTTTTGTTGATTGTGGATAAAGAATAGTATTTACAAGATGTTAAAAATTCTGGTTATTGTGTTAGTGGTAGGCCGGTAGCTACTCAACCTCATATCTTTGTCCCAATAACATCTAAATAATAAACCCCAAATACAATTGCTCCCTGTTAACCCCTTGCCTAGCTAGAGAATTTGGCACACCATTTGATGAACTGGTGCCTGGTAGGGGTGTCAATTGGACTGGATTTGGTCCAATCCGATCCAGTCCAATGTGAGTCCATTACAAATGGATCAAGTCCAATCCAATCCAATGGATATTTTGGACCATTTTGGACTGGTCCAATTCAATGCCTGGACCATCCAATCTGTTCAAATTTGTTTTAATTTAGATTAATTCCAATCCAAACCTGGTCTATTGACACCTATATTCTTATCTTCTATCAATGGACCAGATATTGGCTCAATCCAACCCAATCCAATATAAATTATGGATGGACCAGGTCCAATCCGATCCAATAAATACTTTGGATCATCAAGTCTGGAGTCTCTGGGCTGGTCCAATTAAATGTGTCTTGTTGGTCTGTCCAATCTGTCCAAATTGATTTTGGTTTGGATGGGGTTTAATCCAAAACCGGTCCATTGACACCCCTACCACCAGGGCCACTGACCTCTCTATTGCCAGAGTGCTAATGCCCCATTATTTCGAAGTTCCAAAGTAACTAATGCTAAAATATCGTATTTTATTGCAGCAAAAAGATGGCGAACTTGACAATGCCACATCATCTTCTGGACTGATTAGTTTTGAACTCTCAAACGGTCATCCCTATGGCCCACATGTTCCAACCTCAATAGATGATGATGATGATGATGAATATGTGGAGTACACACTTGATAACTTGGCAGAGTTTCCGTGCAGTGTGGAAGATGAAGAAAGGGTGAGTTTTACAAGTTGAGTTAAGCATTTTGCAGTGCCAATGACTATCTTAGAAGATCTCCGAGTCCCAAATCAATACAATTAGATATTATCACCATAATCAATTATTTATTTAGTGATAACGGAGCTTCCATCTTTTTTTATCTTAATGCATGTATGCATGTCCGTGTTCACGCCCCTATAATTAATGAATTTCATTTCTCTTGACCTGAATGCCCAACATGCAGATGATCATGGAAGCAGTGATAGAATCTTTGAAGGATTTGGAGGTCAGACAGCCTATTCCTACTGAAAAGGAACAAATACCCAATGTAAGCACCAGTTCACCTGAATGTTCACGAAAGGACAACATAGAAGCTTCTTCTACCTCAAAGAACTGCAGGCCCTTGAAGATGGACGAGAGTTCCACATCAGCTACAGACAGTCATGGTTCAGATTATGAACGACATGGACCTGATGCAAGTGTGTCTTCTTCAGGAACAAAATACAAGACACCTCCATCTTCTATCAATATAGAAAGTATAGGGACTTCTGCCTGTAGAGAGACCTCTGCAAGTGTCCAGTGTCCATCAGAAGGTGACAGATCACAACAAGATGCAGCTGACATGTCAGATGGAACACGGGCCACCTTGACAGTGCAGAAGAATCCAAACAACCATATCATGGATGGGTTGATGCACCGTTGGGGTCTGAACTTCTTCAAAAGTAGTTGATGAAGAAATGTTGTAAAAATACTTGCTGTTGATATCGAAGCATAGAAAATAAGAGGGCTTGTAATGTTTTGAAATATGTTAGTGCAATGGCTGTGTTTCATTTGGTTGTTTCCAAGTTCATATCTTGACTATTTCTTTTTCTATTTTGCTTACCCAGTTGGACTGAGTTAGAGTCAGGCTTGAGGATTCGGTTTAATCAGGTTAAGCTTCAGTTGACCATTCCTTTGTCTGGTCACTTATCACATATTTGATGACGAGTTGGTAAACAACCATCTTCTGTTCTTCTATGAACTTTCGTTACTAAACTGTATCATCAGTTGTGAGGGAGACGATTTGATAATAAGCAATAATAACAATAACAATTCAGAGTCCAGACACTCTCTTTGGGCTTCGCACAATCTTGGTGGACACTAACAAATAGAAACCCGTCTTCCTATTTCTCTTCATCCAAGTGAAAGGATAAACGTAAGGGGTTAACCTTGGATTACTGTTCCTCGGCCTAGATGAAAACTTACATTTCTGCAACTGTGAAAGAGCAAATCTTTTAGACAGAAAGTTGTACTTGTCCCTTTCCATGTCCCCAACCCAAAACTGGAAAAGGCACCCATACAAAGCTAGACTGCAGACAAATTCATTCTTTATTCATCAACACTTTCGTATTTGAAAAAAAAAAATGGAGGCAGGTATTACAAATTTCCATGGGTAGGAAGGAACCACATACAGATGTTTCTGACAAGAGAAAACATTGATATCGTATGAATCTGAAACAATGATACATACATATTGTTGGGTTTGTGGATTCAGTTTTCTTTTTTTTTTTTTTTGATCAATAACAAATCGCTTTCATTAAGAAAAATAGAGATTAAGTACAAAGGAAAGGGGGAGATAAACTCTCTGTACCCAGTTTTTACACTGCAGCCAGCAATTCTAATGCAGAGTCAACAAGTGAATGGATTGTTGTATTATGTGGGCTTAGGCCAACAGTCCCTGAGAAAATATTGAAGTTTTCAAGCTCTGATGTTGTCTCTATGACATTCTGAAGCTCCTCTTCCATTCCAAGTTGCTTGAAGATATGCATGTTTTCCTCACTGTCTCTAATCATCCAAATTGCCAGCTCAATTATAAACCTCCTTATTTGTGGAACTCTGATATGGGGATACTTGTAACTTAGCAGAATCTGCACAAGCTCCTGGGCTAAACTGCTCTTTCTGATGTTTGTTTGATCAAACACTCCATCTGCTTCTTCAGAAGTCATTAACCTGAAAATCTCTGCTGCAAGTCCAATCATTACTTCCTTTATTTTGTTGTTCTCTGATGCTATTGCCTTGAGCACCTATCAAGGATAAAGGTAGACAATTTAAGTATCTTATGTTAAATTTTGATATTCAGATGAAAAACCCATTTTGCAGATTGAAACATGGAACTATCGTTATTATTATGTTCAATTTTGAAATGCAAGGAAAATAGGGTTTTAGACATAAAGTTAGAGAACTTACAGTGGGTGCAGAATCAGTGATCTCCTTCAAATGGAGTAAGCAATCTGGTTCTTGCCCAATATGGGCACATATGTTCTTCAAAATTCTTGCTGAATGTAGGCAAAATACAGGTTCCTCCAGTGCTAGAACAAACTTATTTATCACTCCCAGCTTCAATACCTGATGACAGTTGCTCTTGCTCTGCAATGCCAGCATTGCAAGTGCTTCTCCAGCTGCAACCCTGACATGTTTCTGATTTTTTGCAGTTTCTTTCTTAGAGAAAATAGGCGTCTGTTGCTCGAAGAAAATATGGAGTAGCTCTTTAATAATTCCACCAGTGCTTCCAATCCTCTCTGCTGTTTCCTCTTCGAAGGCCAAACTAGTTAAGATTTCAATTCCCAGTCTTTGCAGCTCAGGCTGCTTGCCACCGTACTGTAGAATATTTCTGATGTTGCTGACAGTGAAAACAATCTCAGAGATCTTCTGCCGAAGAACTTTTCCTGTGTTTCCTGTGGTACTAGCGAGCATCTTCACCACTTGCAGGGATAGTTTCACTGTCTTAACATGAAAATCAGGCACACTTTCATCCCTCAGCAACCTCTCTTCAACATGTGTGAACTCGATAACTTTCGACAGGAGGCCTCTTGTGCTCCCTATCTTCCCACAGTTATCATGATCTCGTGCAAGGCATTTTAGAATGCGAAGGCCCAAAAGATTGAAAGCTGAAAAATCATAAAATTTCTGGTCGCATATGACATTTTTCTGGCAAATTTCATCCACTTCACCATTGGAACTTCGACAAGTACAAAGCAGTGATGATATCGATTCCATAGCACCAGGAACTCCAGCAACTCGGAGGGAGTTTTGCTGCTTCTGTGCTAGTTCTGACAAGATATCTGCAGCACAGCGCCTGATTTCTTCTTCTTGAGGGTCCTTCCAGTTCAACATCTCAACCAATCTCTCAATCACTGATATAGATATGCCAATCTTTTGGAGTGTTTCTTTGGAAAAATCTTGATTGGTTGAGAACTTTTGAAGAATCCGAGCTCCAATGAGCTGCTCATCACAGGAATCAGAGGCCAAGAGCTCCATGGCAAAAGAAACCAGATCCATCTTTAAACCATCAAAGATGCTGCCATTAATGCATTTCGAATATGCATCATAAAAGAACCGTTTGATCGAAACCATGCCGGAATCTCCCAACCCACACTCATCATTTACCTGTTCTAATATCTTACAGTAGATGACCTTCCATTCCCAGTATGCCTTCTCCATCAAAAACAGCAAAGCTTCAGCCAGTGCCAACCCATAGAAAATATTTAGAGCAGATTTCTGGTTCCTCTTGTCAGGATCATCATTTAATTCTCCGAAGTCCTGCTGAATAAGTCTCACAAGGGACAGTATCACACAGGCAGTAGCCGATATAAGCTGAAGCCAATAGAGTAACTTACTAATGTTTCGTGACAGAAAAACCCATCCTGCATATGGAAGCAAGGGGACGTCTGATGTTGCCCATATCCGTGTTGGCATTTTCCTTCGAAGCCGATTGCTGGCTCTTTCTGTATCAGTGCTCTCTTTCACACGTCGATCATGGCTGCTGTGTGGCAGGCTTTTAGTAACTGGCCAGAAAACTGCTTTTGTGATTTGAACAATGAAATGGGAGCTGGATTTCAGCACCCTGAAACTATATATCCCAGCTTCTTCAATCCTCGACGTAGACTGGTGTTGCCATTTGAGCTCACGACTCCGGCTGAAAATTCTGGTCCCTTCAATTAAAAGTATGGTGGTGATGAACCAGAAGTCCGTGGTATCTAGTTTGATGGCGTAGCCGCCCAGAAGAACAACAGTTGCCCAGATGAAAGCCAGGGCTCCTACCCCACTGGCTGCTTTTTCAAGAGTCGCAAGCCAAAGAGCAAATAATATCAACTTCTTTTCAGGCGCATGACCTGCTGAGGAACCAGACATCTCTTGCCACCCAGTTGGAGTAGGAGCTTCCCCTTGAGGTTCGAAAATGGTGGAACCCAAGGAGAAGTTCCTAGTCTGCACCATGTTAGCCCCACCAGCTTGAACTGACTGTGGGTTCTCGCCCATGTTGCTTGATTTTGAGGAGCTCCTCAACTGCCCAACTGAAAGTGAGATCATTTGGATTAAAGAGTAGCAAAGTTGAGATTGCTACTGTTTTGAAGCTCTGCAGAGGAGAGAATAGATAGAAGGATGCTAAAATACTGGAAATGGAGGATGATCAGCTTGGGTAGCACGACTACAATGTGGAAGAATGGGAAGAGAGCGACATGAAGTTGCTTCTCTTTCATCATTTATTTCTCAATCAGGGTGGAGTTTTGTTGTTGTTGGTTTTTCTTGTTATCTTTTGTAACTTGAGCAAGGCTTTTCCTTGTTGTTGCTTGGGAGTTTCCTTCTTTGTCCTTTGTTTGTTAATTTAGAAAGTGGGATGTCTTGCTTTTTGAGAAGCATGGGTTAGTGGAAGGCCCACGAGTGAGAAGCCTTCTTTACACCAAGCTCCCAACTCCAAGGCAAAACTATCCCCTTCTGGGTTTTGGTTGCCTTCCCTTTTTCTCATCATTCTCTTTTTCTTTTTCTTCATTTGAACAAAATTCATGTTTAAAATGATTATAATGCCCTAAATGATAAACGATGGATGTAGTGGTAGTTGTTATGTTGTGACTTTGAATTCTTTGTTTGTAGTAGAAGAGGGGTATGGACCCAATCCATTTGCATTATGTTATGTTGTTTTTAGGGGTTTTCTTTTTTATGCATTTTTTAGGCTTGCAAAAGAGGTAGAGAGAGAGCAAGAGCTCGAGTGTATTGGGGTTTGTACAATTTTTATAAGGAAAATTTCCAATTAATACACTGTACTTTGGGCCTAATGCCATTTTGGTCTCCCAACTTTAAAATGCGATGGTACCCAAACCTTTAAAACATGACAATCTAGTACCCGCCTTTAATTAGTTGTTAACCAACTGTTAAGTGGCATTTGAAAAGGACACAAATGCCCTTTAAATGTTATTTAATTTTCTTTATCAACCATCTAAACATTGACAAAAAATTAATAGTCCCAAATCTTTGCCTTTTCCATTCGAGAAAGTTAGGGTCACGTTTGAGTGGGCATTCTGGTGACCCCAACTTTCTTGAATAGAAGAGGCAAGGATTTGAGACTTAATTTTTTGTCAATGTTTAGATGGTTGATAAAGAAAATTAGATGACACTCGAAGGACATTTGTACCTTTTTCAAATGTCACTTAACGACTGGTTAACAGCAAGTACTGGATTGTCATGTTTTGAAAGTTTGGACATTGAATTGTCGCATTTTAAAGTTCGGGGACCAAAGTGACAATAGACCCAAAGCATAGAGTACTAATTGGGAATTTTCTCAATTTTATAATCTCCATTGTCGTTTTCTATATAATGGATTTCAGCTCCTCCTTTACCGGTAGATGTAAGTTATAAGTCAAACCACAAATATATGTGTACTATTCTTGAGTTTCTCTGTTTTGTGTTTTTCATGTTGATTTTTCTATTTTTGCCAATCGTATGCAGGTCTTGGGTTTATTATCCCCGGTAGTTTTGATTTAATTGGTGCATATGCTTATTTCTTTGAGATTTTTCCACAATTTGTTTAATTGAAGCAGTGGCCATTAAATTTAGCAGACATAAGCTTTCTTAAAGACACAAAGGTTTAAAAAATAGACATAAAATGAGATACATGTACCCATATCCGTGTCCAGAATTTAAGAAAATGGAAAGCTGTATCCCCATTTCTCGTGTCTGTATTCATGTTTGGGTATCATTGATTATCACAAGTTGCTTCTTAATTAACACTTACTGCTTAACAACTTTCCATTCATGATCACTGCTTGGAATTTGGGATTGATATTTGACAACTTTTTTTCTCCTTTTTACTCCTTGAAATTGATTTGAGTAGGAATCGGTTGTCCAAGTGTCCATGCTTATAAAATAATATTTTATAATTCATTAAATATTCCTTCAGTTTTTCAACCAGAATTGTCTACTTATCTTTTCATCTAAACCCATCTATCACTCAAAACAGCTTCATTGATCAGATGGTCATAAGCTCTTCCTCATCACCACCTTGYCCTTAAAGTTTTCATTGTTGTGTTTACAAGTAGCAAAACTTCTCTATACCGTGCAAGCAATGTTCAGACAAAACCTTCTTATATTTAAATTCCTAAGGATTCTCTAGATCTCTCTTTCTCCTTCCAGAACAGAACTCGTTTTCAAAGGTCTCCCCATTGTCCTTATCAAAAACTAATTCCTCAATAAGGCTATTCTAGTTCTGGCAATCTGGAATCTTGGGGAAAGGTGGATTGGATACAGACCTAACTTCTGGCATTTTTAATACCTTCTTGCCACACCCCCACTCCAAAATTGCAAATGCACTCATGAAGAGTTGATTTGCAGGAATTTTCACTCTTTATTCATTCAAGCATTGTTCTCTTTGAAGAAAGATATTGTTGTGCAAAACCTATAAATACAGATTTGTATGACACAAAAACGAAGTAAAAAGAGAGATAAAGAGAAGAAAGAAACAAAGTAACATAGAGTTGCGTGGTTCAGCTTATAGCCTACGTCCACGGGCAAAGGAAGAGCAGAAATCCAGTATAGAAATCAACAATAGAGATTACAGAATTGTGCACCACCTCTCTCACAGAAACCCTAAACCCCAATACACCCAAATTCTCTCCAATTCAACTCTCAAAAGCAAAAGATACATAAAAGAGAAAGCCGTTAAACTACATAACATGTCATATTCAGGTTGGACCCATAAGCTGAATATGCCTTAGGAATTTAAACAAAGAATTCACCACAAACCATTATGAAATTTTGCATAATGGGTCATGAAATGGGTTGCAACCAAAGAATTCAAGGCACAAACACAACAGATATTGTCGAAAATATCTGCATTGAGAGAGAGGAATGGGATGGGTAGCAAATGCTAGCCAATATCTTGGGATGCTTGGCACTTATTTACATAATAAAAGTATATCCATCATCAATCAAAAAAATCATTGAGAATACTACAACAACAAACTTAATCTATACCCAGTTTCTATACAGCAGCCAGCAACTCTAGTGCAGTATCAACAAGTGAGTGGATCGTCTTGCTGTGTCGGCTAATGCCAACAGTCCCTGAGAAAATATTGAAGTTCTCAATCTCTGCTGTTGTCTCTATGACATTCTCAAGCTCCTTTTCCAATCCAAGTTGCTTGAACATGCGAGTGCTTTCTTCTCTGTCTCTCATCATCCAAATTGCCAACTCAATGACAAACCTCCTCATTCGCGGAACTCTGATATGGGGATACTGGTAACATTGCAGAATCTGTACAAGCTCCTGCGCTAAATCGCTCTTTCTGATACTCGTTTGATCAAACACTGTATCTGCTTCTTGAGAATCCATGAATCTGAAAACCTCTGCTGCAAGTCCAATCATTACTTCCTGTATTTTTTTGTCTGATGACTGTATTGCCTTGAGAACCTGTAAGTAAGATAGATGGACAACTTAGGATATCTTATTTTGTATTCTGAATTCAGAGATGGCAAACCCATTTTACATGATAAAAAAATCATTGTTCTTCCATCAATATCAATGAATATGCATTTTCAATTTTGGAATGCAAGGAAAATTGGGTTTTATATAATCAAATTGCCTTGGAACTTACAGTGGGTGCAGCAGCAGCGACTCCCTTCAAATGGAGAAAGCAACCTGGTTCACTGTAGGCACATAGGTTCCTCAAAATTCTTGCTGAATGTATGCAAAGTACCGGTTCCCCCAGTGCCAGAACAAGCTTATGTAGTACCCCCAATTTCAATATCCGATGACAGTTTCTCTTGCTCTCCAATGCCAGCATTGCGACCGCTTCTCCGGCTGCAACCCTCACATCCTTCTGTCTTTTTCCAGTAGGAATTTGTTGCTTGAAGAAGATATGTAGTAGTTCTTTAATGATTCCACCTGTGCTTCCAATCCTCTCTGTTGCATCCTCCTCAAAGGCCAAACTAGTTAATATTTCTATCCCCAACTTTTGCAGCTCTGACTGCTTCTCACCATACTGTAGAATGTCTCTGATGTTGCTAACTGTGAAAACAATCTCCGAGATCTCTCGCCGGAGAAGCTTTCCTGTGCTTCCTGTGGTAATTGCAAGCCTCTTCACCACTTGTAGGGAAAGCTTCACTGTCCTGATTTGAGAATCCGGTACATGTTCATCCCTCAGCCATCTCTCATCAACATGTGTGAACTCAATAATTTTTGATAGGAGACCTCTTGTGCTCCCTATCTTCCCACAGTTATCATGGTCTCGAGCAAGCTTCTTCAGAATACGAAGACCAAAGTGACTGAAGGCTGAAAACTCATAGTGTTCATGGTCCAAGACTACATGTCTCTGGCAGATTTCATCGGCTGCACCATTGGAACTCCGACCAGTGTAGAGCAGTGATGATATTGACTCCATAACACCAGGAATTCCAGCAACCCGGAGGGAATTTTGCTTTTGCCCTGCTAATTCTGACAATATCTCTGCTGCAGCTCGCCTGGTCTCTTCTTCCTGTGGATCCTTCCAGTTCAACATCTCCACCAGTCTCTCAATTACCGATATAGATATACCAATTTTTTGCAGTGTGTCTTTGGAAAACTCTGGATTGGTTGAGAACTTTTGAAGAATCCTAGCTCCAATCAGCTGCTCATCAGAGGAACCAGAGGATAAGAGCTCCATGGCAAAAGAAACCAGGTCCATTTTCAAGCCATCAAAGATGCTGCCATTAATACATTTCGAATAGGCATCATAGAAGAACCTTTTGATCGAAACCATGCCGGAATATCCTAAGCGACACTCCGTGCTCACCTCCTCCAAGATCTTACAGTAGATGACCTTCCACTCCCAGTAAGCTTTCTCCGTCAGAAACAACAGAGCTTCAGCCAACGCCAACCCATAGAAAATATTGAGAGCAGATTTCTGGTTCTTCTTGTCAGGGTCATTACTGAAGTCTCCATAATCCTGCTGAATAAGCCTTACAAGGGAGAGTGTCACGCAGGCTGTGGCCGATAAAAGCTGAAGCCAATAGAGCAACTTACCAATGTTTCGTGACAGAAAAACCCATCCTGCGTATGGAAGCAAAGGGACATCTGATGCTGCCCATATCCGGGTTGAAATTTTCTTTTGAAGCCGATGGCTGGGTCTTACTGTGTCTGTACCCTCCTTCACACGTCGATCATGGTTGCTCTGTGGCCGGAGTACAGTGACTGGCCGGAAAATTGCAGTCACGATTTGAACAAGGAAGTGGGAGCTGGATTTCAATGCCCTGAAACTATATATCCCAGCTTCTTCTATCCGCCATGTAGACTGGTGCTGCCATTCAAGCTCACGACTCCGGCTGAAAATTCTGGTGCCTTCGATCAGAAGTATTGTGGTGATGAACCAGAAGTCCATGGTGTCTATTTTAATGGCAAAACCGCCTAGCAGAACAACAGTTGCCCAGATGAAACCTAAGGCTCCTACACCGCTGGCCGCTTTTTCAAGAATCGCCAGACGAAGAGCAAACAATGTCAGCTTCTTCTCAGGGGCATGGCCTGCCGAGATGGAACTGGAATTCTGTTGCCATGCACTTGGGGTTGGAGATTCCTCGTGGGGTTCGAAAATGGTGGAGCTTGATGGGTAGTTGGTAATCTGCACCCGGATGACTCCATCGCCTTGAATCGACTGTGGGCTCTGGTCCATGTTTCTGGGTTTTTCAGGAGTTCCTCAATGGTCGGATGTGAATCGGAATATCAATTCAACACCACCGGAAGTTGCAAGTACTGTGTTGAAGCTACCTCAGATGATAGAAATACAAGAGAGGAGTAGTGTTGAGTTGAATCTCTGTATTCATTAATTGCTGAAATAGGTGGCGGAATTCTGTTATTGGCTCATCTTCATTCAATCTGATCATATGGTTATGTAACTTGGGCATGTGGATTTCTTTGCTGTTGCTTGGGTGTTTCTCTCTTTGTCCTTGTCGTTTAAGTTTTGTTGTAAAAAGCGTGGGATGTCTTTTTTTTTTTATTTGAAATGTACGATAAATGCAAACCCCACCACCTGACTGAAAAAGCTTTCTTCTTTTATGCTTCATTCAACCAAGACCGAAAGTTCAACACTCGCTTCTGGGATCTGGGTTTTCCCTTTTGCACTTCTCTCTCTCTCTAGTTTTTCAATTTTCCTGAGTTAAACAAGCAAATAAACTAAAACCATGTTTGAAATGATTTAATTATTGCCTTGTTTACTGCTCATCTCCTGTTGAGCGTAGCGTGTTGAGGCTGATGGCATTTTGGACGCAATTCTTGTGTTTGGATTGCTTTCTTTCCTCCAGAATTTTTCCATGTATACAAGTATTGCTTGGTGATATGGCCTCCTTCCGACCATAGAGGTGACACGTGGCCTTAACCAAAGGCAATGTGGGGAAATTATGGACGTCAAAGAACAGGAAAAGGGAAGTTACAAGCTGACGAGTCCGATCTTCCGGTAAGGAATCACAATCCCCCCTTCGGAGAATAAGGGTCCATTTGGTTTGCAGTTGGAATCGGAATCGGCATCATCATCGTCATCGTCTATTTCTATATTTGGTTCGGATAAAAATAAAAATATAAAATAGAATCAGTAATAATGAGATTTCATTTCCAAGAGAGAGAAATAGGAAATGGTCATTCACTCAAATGGGAGAACCGATTTCTTTCAACCAAATAGTTGGAATTGAATACTCCATTCCAATTCCAATTCCAATTCCATACCTCTATTCCCCTGAACCAAATGGGCCCTAAATAGCCCAGATTCTCTACTTCTCTAGTATTGCTGATTCTGACAGTAACAGTTTAAAAAAAAACATGAAGAAATGAACAAATTTATTAATCATTGGCGATTGGATTATTAGTTTGGAATATTTTATTTTATTTTTATTTTTATTTTTTTTCATTTCTATCAATTTAGAGGGATCATATGATGACACCCCACATATACATCTCAGCATGTATTAAAAACATCTCTCATACTTATCATTAAGAAATATTACCAATGCACGGTTTGGAATCTGCTGTATCACACTGTGGGGCGCGGATGTTAACTCCAATCTGAAGTGCCCCAACAATACCAAGAACTCTAATGAAATGGACGGGTACAGGTAAGGTAAAACTAATGGATTTGTGTGGCTGCGATATTGTGTAGATAAACATGGGCAGAGTTCTCAAGAGATCTGAAATCCGGAAATGACTTATCGTAACATCTCAGACTCGACGGATGAGCGTATCCTCTCCATCAAAGAGTCGTCGCCAGTAGTGTGCCGTTTGCTGCTCTCCAGTCTCCACCTTTGCTCCTTAAGTCTCCACCATTGTACTTGGCTGTACCGTGCAAGCGATGGTCACACAAAACCAAACCTTCTTCTATTCAATTTTCTCTCTCGGCAAGATATCCGCCTAGGAATATCGGTTTTTGGCTCCGTATCGGAAGAAGCATATAAGAATAAGACCGGGGTCTACAGATTAAAAAAAAAGGACATCTGGCGGATTCATATGAATCCATATTTTCAGAGATTTCAGAGATTTCTCTTTATTAACAGAAAATGTCTTAAATTGGAGTAGGGTTGTCAATAGGTCGGTTTTGGGTCGGAATCAGGTAGAATCGGTCTTGGAACCGATAAGAGAATTCATAAACCTGGAACCGACCCAGACCCTATAGGGTCTGTAATTTGGAACCTAGAACCAAATTAATCGGTTCTTGGGTTTGATATGTATGCTAATAATACCCTTGCTAAAAATGCAATAAAACCCTGAAAAAACCTAAAATACAATGAAAACCCTGCTAAAAATTAAAATAAAAACTGCTAACAAGAAGACTGATAAAACAACAATAATAAATGTATTGATGTATACATATATACATATATATATATATATAGTCGGGTCCAAACCAGTTTGGAACAAGGTGGACCCAGCTCTGACCCGATAGTAATCAAAATTTTTTTAAGAACCGGAACTGACCCATCAGGACAAGTTTTGAAATCAGAACCACCCAAATCGGTCCAGTTCTATCGGGTCTGACTCAACCCATTGACAGCCCTAAGCCGGAACTCAAATAGTTTGAATAAGCAAATTTTATTATATATTATTAATATGTAATATTTTTATATATTATTAAATAATAAAATGGGAAAATCTATGATATTGAAAATACATTATATTGTAAGATCTTTGACCAATCAAAGCCCTTCATGAATTTTGATAGATACCACTTGATTGGTCACCTCTTCAATAATACTAGTTGATTGGCTGTATTTTTTTATATATAATGTACTAATACCCTAATAATATATTAAAAATGTTAATGTATATATATATATATATATATATATTATATAATATTACCGGATTGGGTTCTAATTTAAACAGGTCTAATTGTAATTATTAAGATTTTATTAATCATATATTTTTGTATGAAGTATCTATTAAGTTGAGAAAATTGAAAGGGATTTCAATTAATGTCCATGTCATCCCAAAAACTCTAACTTGGATGCTAACGTGTCTTGCGTATGTATACACCAGTTGCTTACCCCCTCCCCTTGCGTGGTCTCTCTCTCCTTGTACACGTGTTAACCAATAATAATACTCCAAATACGCGTGATGAATAGAAAACTGACCAAATCTAATAATCCATGTTTATAAGCTAAGCTAATATATGTCACGGTTACTTCCCTTAATGGACAACTTGGGTCCAAACTCCAAACTCTTTCTCCATTTGGTGTTTTACAATACTCACTGTGGAAGCAGTGTCTTCAAATAAAACTTTGCTTATTCATATATAGACATCAGTGTTTTCAACCTCTCATTTGATCCATCTTGTCCGACTTGTGGTGGTCTGATCACAATACTAGTTTGAGTCAACTTCCAACTCACTATTTTATAAAAACCCATTACTTGGTCAATGACCCATATATCCAGGTGGTTCAATCCAATCCGATCTAATATGAGTCCATTATAGATGGACCAGGTTCAATTTAATCCGATGAATACTTTGGGTCATTTTGGACTGACCCAAATCAATGCCTGGGCTGCCCAATCTGTTCAAATTAGTTTTAATTTAGATTGATTCCAATTTAAACCTGATCCATATTGACACTTGTATCCTTCTATCAATAGACAAGATATTAACTAGTTCAATCCAACTCAATCTAATATAAATTCATTGCAAATGGACTAGGTCCAATCCAATTCAATAAATACTTAGGATCATTAAGTTTAGATTGGTCCAATTTAATATATTTTATTAATTAGTTCATCCAATTCGTTCAAATTGATTTTGGTTTGGACGGAGTCCAACCCAAAACCGGTCCATTGACACCAGTTAGACGCAGATTGTGATATTTATTTGATATTTTCTTTTATAATTGTAATACTTGGTTTAAGGTGTTGATTGATCTGTTTTACACCAAGTTTGTGGGTTGTAGCTGTTGGCTGGTAGGTAAGAGATGAATAGGATCCACACTTTTGGCCTTCTCCTTGTTGACTTGATAAAGAGTTGGCATATACAGGGTCACCCTTTTTTTAAATTGACCAGATCAAAGAGGGAGTGTAAAAAGTCTGTTCTAAAAGAGGAAACAAGAGAATACACAAGTCATAAGTGATAAGCCAGCCACTTATTTAATGAAGACCACATCAAAAAGATATTAATAATGGGGACTGACCTCAGCTAGATCGTCCTTAATAATTTATTCACTAAAGATCCATTTGGTTTGTTGCAATAGGGGTCTGCAATCAGAATCGAAATGGTCAATTCTGATTCTAATCATTTGGCTGAGAGGAATTGGAATCTAATTCCCATTCATTCTAGTAGAATAACATTCTTTCATTTAAGGGAATGGTCATTAGGGGCGTTCACATTAAATGTCAAACCGACCAAACTGGGTTGACCCAATCCGAGTTGATTGGTTTTTCAAAACCACCGGTCAGTTTCGGTTTGTATGAAAAAATAAACCGAAAACTAGTTTCGATTTCGATTTTCATACAAACCGACCAAACCAGCCCGACCCAAACCAAGTTGGTCGGTTTTTCAAAACCACTGGTCGGTTTCGGTTTGTCTGAGAAAATAAACCGACAACTAGGTTCAGTTTCGGTTTTCATACAAATCGACCAAACCGGCTCGCCCAAACCGAGTTGGTGGGTTTTTCAAAACCACCGATCAGTTTTAGTTTGTATGAGAAAATAAACCGACAACTGGGTTCGTTTTCAAAGCGAAACCAAACCGACCAAACCAGCCCGACCCAACCCGAGTTGGTCGGTTTTTCAAAACCACCGATCGGTTTCGGTTTGTATGAGAAAATAAACCGACAACAAGGTTTGGTTTCGGTTTTCATACCAAACCAAACCGAACCGATCCTATATGTTTAAGTAATTATTAATTAGTCCCTACCCTATATATTAAATGTTGATATATTTTATTTTTGTTCTGTTTGAACTTTGAAAAAAACAAAATTAGTTATTTATGATAAAAACTAAAAAGTGAAACCAATTCAAATATAATACAATGGTATAATATTTAATTCAGTTTTGTATAAATTTAAATATATATTGACAAAAAAAATCAGTTTTGCATAAAAAACTAATTGATTTAAATATATATTTTGATTTTGCATAAAAACTAAAAATAAATAAACTTAAATGTAAATAGATATTTAGAAATGGATATTTTAGTTTAAAATATATATAAAAACCGACTAAACTGATAAACCGACCCTTCATGTTTGGGTCTGTTTTGCTTCAGGATCGATCGGTTTCGATTTAGTCAATAAGTAAACCAACTAGATCAGGTTGGCTGAATAAAATGACTCAAACCAACCCAACCCAACCCACGAACACCCCTAATGGCCATTTCTTTCCTCTCCCTTGGGGATGATAATCCCATTCCAACCAATT